AAAAGATGGAAGGCACTAGACAGCGCCGGCGAAGATGCATTGAATGACTTTAAACACACATTTGGGTGATGAGTACTGTGCCAGTAAATCCGATCTGAGTACGAGGCCAGACACTATGCGACTGCACGGCTGTTTTTTGACTACTGCAAACGAATCCAGCTGGGGAAGAGAGGATCTTGGAATCTCTTAAACTCGGTTTCGGTCCCGATGGTGGTTATTGCAAAGTTTTGATTTAAATCAAACCCTTGCCGCACTAAGGTTGCGTGCGATTGTTGCGGCACACAGCGGATACTTCAGAGCCCAACAATTTTATTAGTCTAACTAATCTGCCTGCTGGGGTTTAAAAGTGAAGCTGGGTGGCCCTAAGTATGGAAATGCGCAAGAGGGGCAATGAGAAGGCGGAAAGGTCTGAGTAGTGCATCCAAACCCCTATCCACCCTGCTCGATGTAGCAGATAGGGCGCGGTGTTTTATCTCCTGCGACAGCCGGAGTATCGGGATTGTTAAAAGGAAAAGGCATGACGTATTGCTTGGGCAGAATACTGTCAAGTTGCCCAGGCCAAGACAGGAGAACGATTAGAATTCTCAACCAAAACTTCTGGATCAAAAACCTGAACGCAAGTCAGCGAGGTTTTGGTATGGGACTACAGAGAGCTCGTGTAATCGAGCAAGGAGTCACCCACACTCCAATGCCCCACTTGGAGGGCTAGGAGACTGAGTTTGTCTGGATCTTAACTATTGGCCAATCTGGTATGAGTGCTTCTGAAGGTGCAAAGTACCACTCAGAATGGCTCAATGGATCACTGAGGCCCACAAAGCATCGCCCGACGCTAACTTTCAGTATCATCGCGATCTAGCATTGGAGACGGTCCTGCAATGTCGATACAGTCATATTCTCATCTCAGGTGACTTCAATGTTCTCAATCTGGAAGTTCAGACAATCCCAACGAGCAAGTTAGGGCCGACCTGCATGAGCATGCCGCAAACGTTTCGCTCCATATCAAGCCCACCTCTCCTGCCCAATTCAGAGCGGCAAATAAACACTCTTCGCTTGATTCGGGACACACAAAGGAAAAGTCCCCGATCGAGAAATCAAAGAGGGCGTGAACTCTGGGTTTAAGGGAGCACGTGATTTATAACTACGTGTGTTATGTGGAATGTTCGCATAACATAGGGACTGCTTCCGAGCCATCACACACTACGACATCCTAACAGAAATTGTTAGAGAATGCATCTGGGATTTTTTGTAGGACCGTTCTACCGTTACTGTCTAGATGGACTTTGCTCATTCGTTTCATGATCTGGGTAAGTTCGCATCGGTAAACATGGCCCTTCATTCTGCAAGAGCACCATTCTTCATTCGGAGTAGAGCCAAAACGCATGATGGGTACAGAGGCAGCGTGACATGTATACGGGGTGAACCCTAGCCTTTACAACTGCAGCAACCAATTAATGCAGCTTAATAACTGCATCGCACGCGTCCGTGATGACAAACTTTTTTACGTTAATAGAACTTAGCTGGTACGTTTTGCGCTGACAAAATCTTCTGTATTAACTAGTTCTCATTCTCCGGACGCTGAGGCGTGGTGCTCCCCCACTTAGCTCAGCAAATGGATGTGCTCAGGCGGCCGAAGATTTAAACAATATCCTGCGGCTACACTACGTTCCAATATTCCGATACGCCACCAATATATCTCACATACCTGTTCCACTTATTTAGATGCCAGAGTTTGCACGCGTCTCCCATAGTGCATTGACTGTTGTGGGCAAGACCGATCCCGTCAGCACCAGTCATGTACTACAAATCGGCTGCTTGGGCGTCGCATTTGGACCGAAATAATCGTTAGAGGCTGCAGCACCGAAACCAGTCCCTTGCCTTTTCTAAAGACTTCTCCTGCTTAACTCAAAGCATCCTACTCCAATATCCTCAAGTTCAAGGTATTTAAAGCCCTTTTCCAGGAAACATCAGTAATTTTTTTATTCGGCGGCGGTTTCAATTTCTGGCTAGGTGGTTATTTTCCAATCTAATGTGGTGATCTGTGGCGTTTCACCAGAGTCAGTGTTGGTGCGACACATATTTTTCGTCATCATTGACGACCCCTCGCGTGTTATGGAGTCGATTTACCTGCTTTTAGCCGACGGCATTAAGATGTGGCAGATGGTTTCTAATCATGGAGATTACAATCTGCTGCAACGTGACCTGGAACGTTTTATAATGGTCAAAGACAAAGCTAGACCGTTTTTACACGAACAAGTGTAAAAGTGTGCTTGTATGTCACAAGCAAGATATAAGCTTGGAGACCAGATCCTGAAGCCCGCCTCATAGAAGTGTGGTTAGGGGTGGCGATGCGGAATGACGTCGACCGTTTGGCGTAGTCTTTGAAGGCGTTCGAAAACCCGAACCACCATGCCGGTCTCGGGTGGGTCGAATCCTCCAGCTTTCCTCAAATGTTCAATGCATTTGGGAGGCCCTTTGCAGAGTATGCAATTCAGGCATGGCAACCCTGATTAAAACTCGATCTGATTGCACCGGAGACCTCACAGTGGAAATCGACCGAAAATCTGAATGCATTGTTCCACCTGGCATATCATCTGCGACTGAAAGCAGTATGCTTGTACGGGGGGAGTTAGCGCCGTCCACGTGGCGACGTCATGCTGGCGTACCACGTCTTGGATAACCCCGTTCACGCGTGCTGCCACCTCCTGCAAATCAGCCGCAACATAAAATTGATGGGTCACTAGTTGAAACTAGCTTCCCAATACAGGCTGTTGCAGTGTCACCGCAATTGTTTGCTCTTTGAAATAGTCAGCAGTGGTTACGAGTCGCAACCCAACCACACAGCGTGCTCCCTAAATTCAGCTTTGAATTACTTTCTGCTGTGCCAAGCGTTGCTCGCGGATCTCAGTAGCATAGTGTTCAGGACGTCAGCCATGAACTAATAAGCTCTGAGTACCACCCCAGCTCAGGCTATCTACACCTGACGAGACTAAACCAAGACGAAACCGCGGTCGTGGTGTGCCAGTGTTGGGAAGAGCAACACCCAAATATATCCAGCACTCTTTCTACTTTTATCATTTTAGCTTCAATGGTACCCATTAAAAAACGTCTCGGCGACGCAACACACCAACTGAATTAATCGATTTGACTCTTGTCCATCGAGTTGGGACAAGACGCAAACAAACACTGTGCTCACTAGCCCCCACGATAGCAATGTAAACGGATTTGCTTGCGTGTTAACGTGAATATTATGTTGTGTCCGCTTTTGCACACTTCACTTTAATACCATTGTTTTGGACTTATACAATGCACATAAGCCATCTGATGGGACTTCTCAAGCCATTGCTTCGTTTACTCGTACCACACCATTCTCCAATGACGCGTCATTTAATTTTAAACCAGTCAACTGGATCCATGTATCCTTATGTGGACTAAATACGTTACACAATAGTATTGGTGGGTTTCCATCTAACTCCTTGTTTTTAGAGTTTGCAGATACGGACCATAAAATATGCGCCACCAAAGTTAGGTAGGCATCTATACGCCAGCATGAATTCGATGACTAGCAGGAGATAGCTGAATGTAATTATTTGCAACATTTTTGCTTCGCAGAGGTGGCTATTAGGTCGTTTGAGCTTTTTTGACCGAATCATGTGGTAAATCTCGTGTGAGAAGAAACACTGTTTCTCAGCGTAGACAGCCGGATTCTCAGCCTGTTATTATGGTGGATTTTCCGAAAAGTAAAGACAAAAATAAGTGTTTTAATGCATTATCTTCCTTATTTGACCAGAAATTGTATGGAACTAGTTGTTTTGCATCGTTTGTATAGGCATTTATAGCCAAACTACTCAGTGCATGAGAGAGGTAGTGCAGACGATGTCGCTAATGCAGTGCGTGAAATTGCTGTTTTTTTCGATTTTGAAGAGGATACATGAGCAGAACTTATATTAGTTCATTCAGTATAGACACAACATGTTTTACCTGGGAGCGGCAGGTTAGATCCCTAGATGACTCAGTGCTCCTCAAACCTCATCCTAATTTTTGACTGATAGGCTTAAAGAGGCTCGTTGGTGAATATGTAGAGGTGAGATGCGAATACTTTAAAAATTTATCGTTTTACATGAGTATTTTGCGCATATACCTAACTTTTGCTTGCCATTTATTATGGGACCGAACGACAGTTGGGGATGAAGTGATGCCTGACGCTAAATTCGGCCTGGATCAAATTTTGCCTCGAGCCAGAGGGGAATCGTTCACGGAGCAGTGTGGCATTCTAGGCCTCTGGATACACCCATTTTTCACAAGCTCTGAGCTGTTCCTTGATGTGGAATAGCATTCTCTATTCATCTGTAAAACCGCATGCATGAAGCCCTCGGCCACTTCAATCACTTGTGTTGTACAAGGTTTGTTGCCGCTCTTTCGTCGAAGAACCACTAATCATAATCCCGTGGCCAGACATGAAGTGGAACAACAAATAATGCTCGGCCAGCCACATATTTAACTGCTGATGACTTTATTATGTCATTTGTTACTTGCCGTTTCTTTACAAGTACGTCGAGGTAACAAAAATTACTAGACAAATGGGCACGCAATTGGAAGGCTATCGTAAGCTTTTATAACTGGCCCGCCTTATGCTTTTTCGATCGAGTTCCGCAGATACGGTAAAGTTAATTAATCATGATACTCTTCCATTACTTCTGTAGAACCAATAAAAATATGTTTGGCGGCATCCAGTTTCGAATTTGTTTATCACTACAGCCTCCATAGGACAGCCGCGGGACGCCTGCGCCTACACAGGGACCATAAGTGGCCTGCGCCGTACCACATACAGCTCAATCCACACACTCTATATCTGGTGTAAACCAATATTTGTAACTGTCATTCTAGACCGGAGACCATAGAAGATAATCGGCTTTCGCAGTACAGTACAAAATATTGCGGTGATACCGGGATGGCCGTGGTGAAATCTACAAAATACCTCCATAACTTTGTTAAACTCTTACCTGCAAAGGATTTTCAACTGTCAGAAGTTTCTTGAAAACTGTTCCAGCTGCCGTCGTAGGGAACGCAATTAGTAGGCACTTCGAGGCTTCCCCCATGGAATCATATTTTTGCACTCCATCAACTCGAAAGAAGAGACTTGGACACATCCCTGCATTTTATTTCTTGGTATTATATGCATCGAGTTAACCAACCTGATCCGTGTAGCAATAAGTCCGCACAACATTCTCTGAACGGTCCATAAAGGCACTTTGCTTTGAATTCGCATGTTCCAGGTTTCTTATAAATAACCAATAATTTGAAACACCGACTCACCTCGGGCTTGAATGACACTACAAGCGTTACTTCCCCTCCTGGTGCCAGCTTCCCTGAAGACATAGGCATTTGGAATGGTTTGTCGACCAAAAAGCTGAAGCATGTTTCCCGGTTACTAAAGGATGCCGTCACCAATAGGAAATGAAAGGGAGAATACCTCAGGTTCTTTATGACAAATTCCTTCGTCTTCTCCTCTTTAGTAGCAACTAATCCAAAATCTAACTTTTCTGGAAGCTCAATTTTATATTCTGGAATAGCTGCTATAAGCTGTATTTGAAGTTGTAATCCATCCTTTGATACAATTTGCTTGGTAACTGATCGTGTATTAGCATACCTTGGTAGAAATTGTTAATTCATCTATGCACTGTCTTTTGTCTTTTGGCAGAAATACGATGGGGACGTTTAAGCTAGCCCCAACTGCAAGCTTTCTGTGCTTTCTGCCGGGATATAACATTCGAAAAAGTGCAGTTTTCGGCAAACTAAATTAAATAAGCTTTCTCTCTTTTTTCTCAGATCTACTAACCTGTAGGTAAGTTCTATCATATTCTGACTGCAGTTTTGTATCTTCATATGTTTTATGTACCTAATTCCTGGTCTCCAATTCTCCCACTTTAATTCCTTCTTGACCTCCAGTCCCCCGTTCTGCATGCGTTTGTCACCATATTCCGCATCAATAGCTCCCATATCATTCGAAACTTGATCAAATCTGTAAAAGCAACCATTAGAATTGTGAGTGTAGCCCCACTAATGGTGCTGGCATAATGTTTATCCAGCCAGATGTGTTTGGGTCCATGTTGCTCATCAAAGCACAAACAGCGCCGTGTAGCTATTGTGTTGCTTTCAGTTAGCTGATTTGCTGCATCAAAACATGTTCTCTTACCCTGTTACCACCTATATTATCGTCCCCGTATGCTGCCCATTCCTAGACCCAATCGGGTGCTAACTCACGTGTAACTGAATTGTACTGCATAATGCGCCCTGGACGTTTTGATTACAGATCAAAGACCAAAATTAGTTTAATAATGACCCACACTAAGAAACAGGTGAGAAAAACTGGCAAGCTGCACGCAAGGAGGGAAGTAAACAAATACTTTTTGCACAGTGTAAACACTTAATTAATTTTATGGCTAAAGAATCCAACTTGTCAGCGTTCGGAGAAAACGAATCATCGCACATAGGTCATGGATGTCCACGCTTTGACAAGTTAAACTAACTTTTGATACACATGTCTACCATCGGCTAAGCGCCAGTAATATAATGGCCATAAGTTACTGGTGTAGGCCTAAGTCCAAGATCTATGGCTCGTCGGAACAATGCACCGACCAACGGCTAGGCAGCAGTAGATAAGTAAGCTACGCAAATCTCTAGGAGCATGCTTGATATGATAGTTACATTCTCTATGAGATACAGTCAACACATCACGAACGTTTATACCATGATAACATGCAATGTGTTGCAAGCGTTTGTTTAAGCCTTATGTAGAAATAGATCAAATGACCAATAGATCGGAAAAGCACAAACCATGTGACCAAAACTGAAAATGCTTAGGGACATAGAGTAACAAAATTGAAGCGGAAACAAAGCACAACCTTTACTGCACGCAAGCACACTTACACAAGCTGTCACACATGTGCGCATTTATCGGTTATGTTTCCCTCCCAAAACGCACTATGATTGGCGGCATCCGGTTCCAAATTTTTCTGTCATTGTGGCTTCCACAGGACAGTCACAGCACACCCGCGTCTACAGAGGGACCATGGGTAGCTTTCACAGCACCACCCATAGCTCCATCTACACACCGCATATCCAGCGTAAACACTGAGGAATAAGACCGGGAGGCATGTGGAAGGGAGCCACGTTTCATCAACGCAGCCGGCCCACTCTCCTTCAACGTACACAGCAGCAGCCTTTCTGTCTACCTAGGTAGGGAATTATGCGTAGAAGAGGGACACAAGGCAGTGCCTGAACCGTTGTTCGCTTCACACTTGATAAAATCACACTCTGAGCTTAGCATGGCCACTAGGACTGTGCACCACAGCAACGAATCGTAGTCTCCTGGAGCTATTAATCGAGGTGTAGGATGTTAGACAGGTAGGTGACTTGTCAGCATTCCCATCAAGCGCAGCCACACCTGGGATATCAAAAAAACCAACGTGGATATTCACACATATTTTCATATATACATAGATTCATAAAACATAGATTCCTCGTTATCAGTAAACACGTAATGTTTTGATACATTTGCTGATCAGGCGTGGAGATTTAGTATGATTATGCCAATGCAGTATGAAAATACAGCATTTATTTATTTAAGTACAACGTGAACGGAACAGGACTGGGTTGGAACGAGCACAGTGAAAATTTACCATGGGAAATAACGGGCGAGCAAGCGATGCTATTGATGAATGGCCCTTCAAACTTCAGTACGGTGTTAATAATTCCAAGTTTCACGGACAGTAGCTTTGTGATCATTTCCGGACATTGCTTCAATACTCGGATTGTCACAGGACATTTGTGAGTAATGAAGAGGCATCCAAATGGATGCCAACGTACTGAAGTAGCAGCACCGCATAAGATGAAAGATGATAAAGACTTAAATTATTGACCACTAATAAAGGAAGTGGACAGTAGCACAATAGTTAATGCCAAGGTTTATCACGTCGCGCAAAGCTTAGTGATGACGGTGACACAGAGATGGCTCATGTGCGTCAAAGAGGGTAAAAACCACCTGATTTTGATCAACAATGTTGACAGGTATTCACATCAAGTGGGACCGTAGTGCATGCGATGCTGAGGCTCGCCAATTGGCATCTGGCAAAAAGCAATGGCAATTCCACTGACTGTCTGCTGGAGCTGCGTCACCAACAGTTGTCAGGTTATACTTTTCCAAAGCGTGTTGTTAACCGCTTCCTTCGAATTGTCTTGGCCATCATGAGCGCAGTCGTTTAGCAGAATCTTTGATGAAACTGGCCACAGATTGGCCATATCGGTGAATAGAGACGTCCGGCGAAACGTAGTACGTTCGAGTGATTAGTGACACTAGCCTTCCCTCACCTAGTTCTAACTGAATGCCCCCAAAATGTAAACGAGTTAAACAATTTCCGCCTCAATCGCGATTGACTTGTACTTCAGCACCATACATGGGAAATAGCTACGTCACCTAATTGGAGGGTCAAGTTTGGACTACACGTTGTGTGATTGGATTGCAACGCGCAATCTCAACGTAATAGACTGTGATTCACATTGAAGTGAACCTTAGTCACTGCGATCACTTGGACCGTACTCAAAGCTGATGGAAATTAGGTGTTGCCCACCCGAAAACACTGCAGTGTTTTCGGGTGGGCAACACCCAGTTTCTATCTACATGTCACCTACTTGAGTTGGTTCGCCACAACTTGTTGGGTCTTTTGCCGCTTCTTCGACCCCGTATCTTCGCTTTGGTAAAACCCATTCTGATCAGCCCGGAGCTGTTTTAAGGCTCTGGATTTGCTTAACGGCGGTCACTTTATTCTGCTTGAGGTTACACTGGATACATCGACAAAAGCATTTGTGTCCGATTCCGTGACGTTACTGGCAACATCTTAGCTGTGCTTTTTGGTTCAGACCCGCTGCATTTCGTCGCTCGCAATCCGTGTGAGGCTTGCGTTGTTCCATCTGATCTCGCCCATGATGCCTGCGCCTGTTTCACTTCGCTCTGTTTATTTGGCTTTCCACTCTCCTACGTAAGCGTTACCTTCCTTGCTACTAAATTATTTTGAGAATTGGTATGTTCTAGTACTTAATGCCATAAAATTGTTTATTCTGAGCAGGTAATGGTGGTAACCGTCTTGTTATTTTGGTTGGTATCACTGATAGCAAAGTGATTCGAAGAGTTTATTGCCTCTCTCGCTAGCCTTTGGCTTGGTGCTGAAGTTTTTATCATTTGAAATGAATGATGGTGGGCTGTAGACATCAGGAAGCCAGATTTTGGCATTTCTTGCAAAAAACTGCCTTTTTAATAGCCTACTTTCCATGTCTCGTACCACAACCGTAACTTCTTCCGATTATATTTGCGGTATTAGTACTGCGTGCGTTAGCAGATTTCTGTTTCTTTAGTAAAAAGCCGGCAAATCAGTAAAGCTTACTCATGTAGAAATGCACCATACCACAAAGAGCACTATTAGCATGCAGATGGATTATTCACTCAGTGGCAATGTGAGCAACCTATACATCACATGTCTACGTAACACCCACATCTGTCGACTGTTAAGCAAAGTAGTGATCCAATATTTTGTGTCCCTGTTGCTCACTTTGATTATATTTCAAGGAGATTAGCGGGCAAATAATCCAGCTACCTAAATTTACCCTGCCAGCCCTGGACGAATTGAATGTGTCGGCCTTGAAAGTACGGCCACATCAGCGCGCAAGCAACAAAGAAGTAACCACACCATTGATTAGAAAGGCATTGATCGATCTAATGGTTTGTAATGACCATTGAGCGACCGGAATAAAAGTATTTCGCTTTCCTTCAAGCCACAAAAATGTATGAACATGAATCCAGTGTTCAAATTGCCTCGGCATGTTGTATTCTAAATGTTTCGAGCTCAGAGTAAGCCTGCATAGTAACCATGAATCTATGTGATTCCGTGCACATTAAGTGAACGCTGGTCAAGTGTAGTGAGGTTGTGCTTCAGCCATAGTTGACTAGTTTGGATTGCGTATTCGGCATGGGGGCGAACGGTAGAGAGGCGATAAATAGGGTTAGTTATCCGAACGCCAGTCACCACAACCCGACGTGTTGGTAAGCAGTTTTCTATGCCTTTTCGGATTGCTTGGAGCAACGTAAGTCATATTGAACCAGAACACTTAGATCACGTTCGACGGAAGATTGCTGCAGTATATGCGTTCAGAGCCCATATGAGTAGTTGAGCTGGCGTCGTATTGAGAGTATCATGAGTTTTCTCATGTTGAAGTGCAATAATGTTTGGATTTGGTACAGGTGTACCATGTCTATGTCTCACCAAAACAGATACGGGATATAATTCATCTGAATCCTACACCAAAGCTTGAGGTTGCCGGCAAACAGTAGGATGTGCGTGCTCATTCATAATCAAAAAGAGTGATGGCCCCAGAACTGAGCTCTGAGACAGAACACTATCGACTTGTATAGAGTCAGGAAAATAGCTATAAATCCTGACAATTAACTGCCGACAACAAAAGGAAGGTAGTGATCCAGCTTAAAAAAGCCTCGAGCAACCCGTAATACTGGAGCTCGGAAAGAAGTATCCGATCAGCTGGACCAGGGTTTCTCAAACATTTTGGCTCGTAGACCACATTTTTGCGGAGCCACGCACGGCGAACCCCCTAACATATTGTTAATCACAGGACTAGGCATTAAGAAGAGGAAAATGAGATGCAGTGTCCCGGAAATGTGTGTTGCTTTAACTTAAATTAACACTGGTGTTTACTGATGTGAGTAACAACTGAAAGTTGTTTAATTTAGGTGGTAAACACGACGTACATTAAGACTTAGTGAATGGGCTGAAGTTGTTTCTGACATGCGGCGCTGACTCCTAAAATGTTTGGTGTTGTTGTGGAAAGCTACAATCTCCCATCTGATGCAGGTTCAAGTCTATTGCGGCACTTTGTATTTGTATAGGTGTGGTGCAAAAACCCAGTTTCACGCATAAGAGGTAGTAAATAGGAGAAGCACAGCGACAGTTGTCTT